GTTATCTCTCTGAAGAGAAAAGCTTGAATCTCTTATAGACTTATAAATAAGTGAACTATCAAAAGAGAAAGAATATGAACAGCATTTGAAGAGAATTTCTACAATCAATATAAAGAACTCTATTCTGATTTATTCAGATGACTCAAAAAATGAGAACTTGAATAGATTAGATGCAGGCATTGCTTATACTGAAGATAATATCAATTTTATCTCAGATTTCTGAAATCTAGACTCTGAATATGAAGTCTTTGATGCTGAACTATTTACAATAGTGAAAGCTTTCAAACTCATTGAAATAAAATCTTATAAAAGAGGAAATTGTTTGAAAGAGGCATGAATATTCTCTGATAGTCAAGCTGCTTTAAAAAGACTTAGAAATAGTCAGATTCATAATGATCAAATGAATCTTGAACTGATCTTAAACTCTATTTTAAAAATTCAAAAGAGAAGAATATCAAAGCTGATAATTCATCTGCACTGGGTTCCTGCTCATATGAATATTCATGACAATGAATTGACTGATTCAGCTGTAAAAAAGAGTGCAGAATTAAGCAGATCTATTCAAAAAATTATGTCCTGGTCTTTTATAAAGAGAAAAATAAAAGAATCTTGTTTAGACAAGTGGAATGAAAGCTGGCAGAAACAAAAGAAGAGTATACATTATTCAAGATTTGAAATAAAACCCAAGTGAAAATCTTGTTCAATTAAATGTAAAAAGAAAATATTCTCATCTATAATATAGCTGAAACTAGAACATGGCTATTTCAAATCTTATATACAAAGATTTGATGATAGATTTGACTCAATAGAATGCTCATTCTGCAATACAAATGAGAATTCTGAGCATATTATAATGCACTGTGCATTATACAATAGTCTCAGAGCCAGATTGAAAGAGAAGTATGATCTAAATCAATTAAATATGAGATTTTTATTCTCAACTGAGACAGAAATTAAATACTTAATAGACTTTCTATCAGAAACTCAAGCAGCTACAAGAAAATGGCTAAATTCAGAATTATCTGAATATGAAGAGGAGGAAATCAACCAGATATAGTCTGTTAAAACAGCTATATACTATCTTTTAATAATTTGTTTTGTTACAGTCTTTCTTTATTTTATCTTTTCATTTCAATTTCTTTCTATCTATCTATTTAATGTGTCTATCTTTAAGACTGTGTTCTCTTTTCCTTTGTCATGATATTGTCAAATGATTTCAAAGTATGAGATGATGTTAAAACACTGCAATTTGTAAACAGTTTTCGTATTCTGGGCTGGAATTTTCTGATTTTGCATATCTGAAATTGATGAATGTATAATAGTTAACTTTACAGATATAGAAAAAACCCTGAGAACTAAAAGTTCTCAGGTAGATGTCATAGTCTCTGACTGCATACATCTATAATTGAAGAATAATAATAATAATAAGAATCTTTCTCAGTAATAAGAGTGATAAGTAAACAGATATATAAGTTGAAATTACTCACAGAATTGAAATCAATTCATTCTATTTTTCATATTTTCTATTTAAAGCTCTATAAGTAACACTCTGAGATAGAGCTGTCTTGACTGAATAATATCAAGATAGAGAGTGATACTGAATATCTTATAAAGAAAATATTGAATAAGTAAATATATTAAAGCAAGCTTTAATATCTTGTGAAATGAGAAGATTACTCATTATCAGAGAACTTATAAGAACTACTTAAGCATTTGAAAAATGCTGAGAAAGAGATTGCAAGCTATGAGATAACTAGTAGAGACTGTCTCATTATACACTAAAGATATTGAATAAGAAATGCTGCTTGAGACTTCTCATTTTTCTTAAAGAGTTTTTTAGAGATAATCTCACAGTAATAAGTCAGTGTCTTATGAGCTCTATAGCACTCTTCTTCTATTTTCTCTCAAAGGGTTTTTTAGAAGTTTAATGAGACTATACAAGTATAAAATTCCTGAAGTGATTAATAAGAAAAGAAAGAGATATTTAAAACTAATAAAGATTAATATTATCAATCTACAGGCTGCTGCTATTCTAATGAGGCTGCAGTCTGCTGAAAAAGTAAAAAGAGAGAAATCTCAGAGTTTACTTATTAATAATCACATTCTTATCAAACTCATTCTTCACTGTTGAAGTCTCTGACACTGATATCTTTATCTGCTAAGAAGTTAGTGCTGCAGCACTGCAGAAGAGCATGAGAAATGTATAAAATATCAACTTATTAACTTATAAAGCATCTCAGTCATCTACTTTAATTAAAGTGAGATTCTCTTCAATCAGTAATTAGTCTCTATGATACTTTTAATAATGATACTGACTGACTTCTTCTTAGAGTCAGTCATTCTGAGATGTTTTTTCATCTTAAAGATTTACACTTTCATCTTCTTTTACAGATGAGTAAGAGAGATCTTCTCAGTCTTGATAGAATTCATTAATACTTGAAGCTCTGAGATTCTCACTCTGTACTGCTTGAACACCTAAGCTTCTTATCAGAGCTGATATAATGTCTTCTTGTAGAGTAGATAATACTTACAGAGAGACAGAAGTCATTGTTACAGATACAATGAAAATAATAAGAGTGAAAGAAGAGATAAATACACAAGATTCTCTTCTTCTTCAGCTGCTTAATACAGTGTAGATAAGTAGTGATACTGATCAGAGACTGCACTGAAGCCTTCTTACAGAAAGAAGATGAAGAAACTGCAGAACTCTGCAGACTCAACTCAGCAGCATTCTGAGCAGGGCTTGAATATGCTGTGAAAGAGAAACTATAGATTGAGCTTCTCAGAGTCACTGTCTCTAAAATCAAGCTCTCTCTGAGTTTCTCTCTGAATGATTACATAGAGTCATACATCACTGTGCTGACTGAGAAGAGAGGCAGTGTCACAACAGTGAAGAGAGAAGCAGAGAAAGAATCAGACACAGATAAACTGACTGACAGAAGAGATGATATCTCACTACAAGACACAGTGACTACTACTGCAGCTGTAAGAGAAGTAGAAGAAGAAGAAGAAGAAGATATGATAATGAGAGCAGTACTTCTGCAGTTCATTGATACTACTGTCTTCATCTTCAATCTGACTTTCTTGACAGTTATGAAGACTGCAGCTGCATCATGAAAATATTTATTACTCATTAAAAAATGTCAGAATAAGCTCTTTATTATTCTTTAAGAATGATACTCTCATACACTCACTATTATAATTGAGAAAGAGAGAAGAAAAATGTTTCACAGAGAGAGAAATCTTTTTAAAAAATTCTGTCACTACTATTAACTTTGTCTCTAAAAATATATCACTTTTGCAGAGAATTTCATATGTAGAACAGAATATATTGAGAGATCTATAAGTCACTTATTAACTATGTTTTTCATATTTTAAATTAATATATAAGAAACTCACTTATCACATATTTAATTTGAATAAAGATGAGAAAAGAAAGATCTATACAGTCAGCAGAAAAACTCATCTATTTCTTTATATCACATGCAGTATATATACTGTCAATTGATTGATAACTGTTACTATATAATAAAGATAATTTCTAATCTGATAATCTTAAGAGTATCAGAACTATGCTCTTAAAGAGAAGAGTATTATTATACTCTCAGTTATATCAAGACTCTGTTACAGTTTCATATAACTCATTGATTTCATGCAGATAATTTCATCTCATCTAAACTAGTTTTTAATCACTCTATAACATTATTCAGATATATTATAGAAAGATTTAATTAATAAATATGAGAATCTTACTTCTATATAAGATTAGCAGATTACTCTTTCTTGATAATAAAACACTGCTGAGATATCACTCTGACTATTCTTACTCATGAAATGAGAGAAGAGTATCTGCTTATTATCTATATAGAATAGCTAGATGCTGACTTCTTATTAAAGAAGTCAGTGATTCATTTTTCTTCTACTGAAATATATACAAGAGTTACTATGTATCTCATACAATTTTCTTAGTATACTAAGTATCACATCTGTGATATTCTTACAATAACTCTGTAGTCTATGAGCTCACTATTTAAGTAAGATAGTCAAGCTCACTTATACAGCTTCTTAAACAACTATCTCTACATAATATCACTGACTAGTCACCGCTTCAGCTCCGTCATGTTACATAAACAGATAAATTCATATAGAATATAAAGAGATATTTTACAGAATTTTAAAATATATCAAGATAAAAATAGTTAATAATTGATTTTAAATTGATTTTAAATTGATTCTGAATTGATTCTGAATTAATTATAGTAATAAAAATAGATTTAATCTATATATTTAAGTAATTAATAATTGATTGAAAATCAGTTGATAATCAATTCAGTATTATTATTAAATTCAAGAATAATTTCAGTATTAAATTGATTTTAAATTGATTTTGAATTAATTATAGTAATAAAAATAGATTTAATCTATATATTTAAGTAATTAATAATTGATTGAAAATCAGTTGATAATCAATTCAGTATTATTATTAAATTCAAGAATAATTTCAGTATTAAATTAATTTTGAATTGATTTTAAATTGATTCTGAATTAATTAATTATAGTAATAAAATAAATTCAATCTGTATATTTAAGTAATTAATAATTGATTGAAAATCAGTTAATAATTAATTCAGTGTAAATTATATAAATACTTACTTTATTATTAAATTCAAGAATAATTTCAGTATTAAATTGATTTTAAATTGATTTTGAATTGATTATAGAATTGATGGTAAATAATTAAGAAAGAAAGAGTGGTTTCAAATTACAAGAAAAGATGTATTGAGTGAGGTCAGATAGTGGCACGGGCCACATTTGCGAGGTCAGCTTACATAACGAGGTCAAGTGGCGCACTTAGCGAGGTCAAGTTTTCTGCTTCCTGTGGAGGTCCGGGGATTGCGACGCGGGACATAGCTTACCTAATTTGACTTAACTAGTGCTGGCGGCCCGCGCCGGCAGAATCACGAACCATCATATTGAGGAAACCAAGTTCATGGGAACTTGGCAGCTTGGTGTTCAGCTCACCAGGCAGCTAATATACTCCGCATTCCTCCACGATCCTACAGGCTTCTTAACTTGTAGAAGCTGTCTAAACTACGGCAGTGGAGCAGCAATGTGCTAGCCCGGCCGGCAATCAAATAATTATGCTTCACTATGACGTTTCAACCTGACAATCAACACCGGCATCCTGGCGCCCCAGCTTCACCCGCTGCCATGGGAGCGGGCGATGTGCTGGGGGCCTCCGTGAAAGAGGTTGAGAATGATGCTGAATTCGCCCGCTGGTATAGCTCCATTGAGAATGACCTGCTGGAGGCCAGCTACGAAGAATATCAGTATAGAAAACCAGCCTTCCCTATTTTCCTGTTTTGTGATGACGACAGAGTTAATAATTATTCTCTTGGACAGATCATGTCTTGATGAACTGCAAACTGCCAAATCGCATCTCGATTCTCTTTTAACCGATACTACCTCTACGCTGGATATCCTATCCAGTCTCTCTGAATGCTTCCAGTCCGTGGAGGCCCAAACGGCCGCCTTCCAGCAGCAATGCGAGGGCCTATTGTCGGCACAGATGCGCAGTTCGAAATTGGTGGAAGATATCCATGAGAATATACAGTACTATGACTTTTTGGACCCCGTTTCGCGGAGACTCAATGCGCCGGGAGCAGGAAATTCCGTGCGAACAAAGGATTTCTCAGACATGTTGAAGAGGCTGGATGAGTGCTTGGATTATATGCAGACTCATGTGGGTGTCTGTCCAATTTCTTCTTCGTTTTACGATGGTACTAATCCTAGAAGCCCGAACAAAAAGAATCAGATACATATAGGTCTCGCTACCGTCTTCTTTTAACCCGTGCCCTCACGTTAATTCGTGGTCATTTCGTGTCCACCCTGCGGGAGATATCTTCAGGGGTTGCAAAAAGAATCGCCGACCGACAGCTCAACGACACAACTATGTCGGCTCTTCTTTATGCAAAATTTCGTGTCGGTGCGGCGGACTTAAAGGCAATCGGATTAGAAATACAAAAGCGAGCAGTCCCGCCAGTTGACCCTGAACAAGGAGCTGAAGCTGAATACCAAAGTTTACTTAACGAGCTCCATACTAGCTTTTCAGCTACGAGGGGCAAGCTTGTTATACCTGTATTACGGAAGAGGTTGAACGATATTTCCCAGGCCCCCAGCAGCTCAAAGGACCTAGTCGCATTTGCTCGGGCCAGCATCAGCTATATTCGTGGCATTTGTCTCGATGAGTTTGAGCTATGGGGACAATGGTTTCATGGTCAGCAAGGCCTTTACGATTTCCTGGAGGCTGTCTGCGAGCCCCTCTACGATCATTTGAGACCGAGGATTATTCGTGAAACCAAACTTATCAAATTGTGCCAGCTCTGCTCACTCCTGCAAACGCGTTATTTGTCCGATCCCGAGGATGAGGGAGAGTTCGCTGACCCGACTCAACTTGACTTTTCCGTCTTAATTCAACCTGCGCTGGAGGACGCGCAAACCCGACTCGTCTTTCGTGCGCAGGCAATATTGCGAGATGAGATTGAGAAATATAAACCACGCGCCGAAGATCTTGATTACCCTGCTCGCAATCGAAACCTTCTATTACCGGGGTCAGAGAATAACAAGTCTCACGCAGTATCACACAGGAGATCATCGTCTATTGAACCGACCACCCCACTCCCGAAGATGCCAATGGTCGTCGACGAGGATACCGATTCACCCCAAGAAAAGTATCCGCGATGGGACTTTGATTCGGGAGCCGTATTTGAAGGATGGTACCCAACTTTGCGGACGGCGGTCTGGCTGCTTAGTCGCATCTATCGACTAGTGAACGTACGTTGAACAATTCAAATAAACCGTTTCCCCTACGCTGTACCTTGCATCCTGACCAAGTTATTTATCCCAGTCAACCGTTTTTGACGACCTAGCACATCAAATCGTTCACCAAACCACCCTCTCCCTCCATGCAGCAAGCACTCAAATTTCTACAAAAACTTCTCCTACAGACGCCCAGTTATTCCTTATTAAACATCTCCTCCTACTCAAACAACAAATTGTCGCCTTTGACATCGAATTCGTCAGCCCCGACATCTCTATCGACTTCTCCAGCGTGACGAACACGTTCTGGGAACTCCGGGAACGTGGCGGACTCTTCAACCCACGAAACCTCATGCGGCTACTTGGCGGCGGCCTACTTCCCCGTGTCGTAGAAAACATGCTCGACGCAAAAGTGGAACTAGACGGCAGATTGCGCACAGTAATTAACGACTTCACTAATTCCTTCAAGTCGAAAATGACCCAACCTCTGGCCTCTTTGGCGAAATCTACAAACCGAAGCGAATCGTATAGTAACGCCCTACGTCTTACGTGCAAAGCGATCGAGAAAGAAGTTCCAAACCTGCGACAAATTCTCGGTGAATATCTTGATGACACGAGGACGAAAGAAACGCTTGTTGGCGCAGTGCAAGACTCTGTCATTCAGGCCTACGAGGACTTCTTCGATGGCTATACATTGACGCTTGAAGGAGGGAAACAGGGAGTCCATCACAGTAAACTTTCATCCATGGAGAAGGGTCGAATGGCTCAGGAAGACGGTGTGTGGGATGTGGATACATTTGCGGGGTGGAGTGAGGCTGTTTTCCGCGTTGGTGTTGCTGGGCTCGACTCCTCAGAGGTCGCAGCCGCGGAGCTGAGTGTGGAGGATGGTGATGTGAGGCGGGGCAGTGATGATGTGTCGCCCAGCGAACGACAAAGGGCCAGCAGGAATGGAAGTTTATGATAACTCATTATTGTCGCCACTCTGTGGTATATCGATGATAAGAAATTCTACATGCCCGCTTCCTGCTTACCATTGGAAAATGGGTTTAATATACCTAGTGGTCTAACTATTTGCATATCATTCAGTATTAGCTTTCACTTCTTGTGGGATTATATATATTTAGTAGATGAAAGCCTAACCTTCCGTAAAGTAAATATGTTACTTAAGATTAGTACGTCTGATAATATATATTGTGGTTCCGAATAATCTCCCTATCGCGAAACGCTACCATAGACTAGCCACAAGAACAGTTCGTTGTTTTCAGCCAAAAATAACACCAGTATCCAAGAGCTCCAGGCGTCAGATACCATATATAACCCTTCCCCAAGAATTAACCGAACACACCATCATCCATGTCCTTCAATTCAAAGCCAAAAAGTAAAGTCAAAAATATAGTAGGAGAAAAGAACATAGAGGACATAACAAAAACTCAACGAACAAATGGAGGCGAAGATGAGCAGAAGTAAATATCACATTGTCAGAACAGCCTGCAGAGAGTGAATAATAATTACGAGAATAACCGAAACATAGCTTACTGAATATATATAGGTATATATATATGTTTGTGTTTGTAAAATATGTGAACGGTTAGTTGTCTAGAGAACATGTCGAATCTTCGCATGCAGCTCGGTATCCAGGAAGTTGTAATGCGGGTCAGCCTTGCAGAAAGGATGTTGGAAGAGCAAAGTTTCCCGCAGTCGGGCGTTCGAAAGTGTCACTAATAAAAAATTTAATAAAGTGAAGTGGCCATCATCAGTGTCCGTACTCGCTTGAAATGGGAGGGCGTCCGGCGAAAGGGGAAAAAAAAAAAAAAAAAAAAAAAAAAAAAAAAAAAAAAAAAAAAACAATCTTTACAAGAGAAAGGAGGCAAAAGGCAAAAGGAGACTTACATAGTGAAGCAATCATACATGAAAGCAAGTGCTTCCGGTGTGATTTCCATAGACACATCGTCAGGGATTGGAGGGGCCTGGTTCAAACTTCCAAGCTTGAAAATAGCTCCGATCGCCTCTTCTTTACTCCAAGGCCGCCGGCCCGCGAACATCTCCAGGACGACACAGCCAAGCGACCAAATGTCCACCTTTGCACTATAGCCTTGACCTTGTGATTGTACAACTTCTGGCGCCATCCAGAATACCGAGCCTTGCATCGAATTAGTAACGTCATTCCCATAAATATTGTCTGTTTTCTTTGATATGCCGAAGTCGGAAATTTTGCAGGTGCCGTCGAGGTCGAGAAGGATATTGTCGGCTTTAAGGTCTCGATGAAGAATGCCTTGGTCATGAAGGTATGCCAGCCCGCTCAAGACCTGGCGCGTGAGAGACTTGACGACACTTTCTTCGAACTTGCCGTGCTTGCGAAGACAACTCCCGATAGATCCACCCGGGATATATTCGAGATAGATGGAAATCGACAACTCGCCGCGCTCGCATCCAAGATACTGAACAATATTAGGGTGTTCGAGATGCTGCATAGTATCTATTTCTTGATTGAGTGCAGAAACCATCTCTTTCATTTTATCTTTGTCATAACCGGCAGCTTTTTGGCTCACTTCAACTTGTTTTACTGCCAAGATATCTCCGTTATCTGCATTGATACCAAGATAGACCCTACCATACGTTCCTTTGCCGATAAGTTGACCTCGAATGATACGGAAAGTGGCTTGTCTCTGAGGCAGCTTATTTTGAGATCCCGAGTGGGGTGGGAGCGGAACTGGATGCTCGCTCAGTCGACTTCCAGGTTTGACCTGCAGAATCTTCGCGCCAAACATCTTGGTACTCTTGCGTCGAAGAAGTGCGCCTGATTTAGCATTGGAAGCAGTTATGCTTTGGTTTCTATGAATTTGGTGGGCACCCTTTGCAACTTCACGAATCGATTTCATGCGGGTTAGTCCACCACCTTGGGATCGAGTAATATTCCGTTGTGCAACGCTATTAATTGTGCTCTTTGCCTTCAAGGTGGACTCATCTGAACCCAGGGTGTCTGTGCTATCCTGAGCCATTATAGAATCAAGGGTGCTGTGCGTAGCTGTGCTTCGCAACGCCTGATTGTCAGGCTCTGAGCCGATGGTAGGTCCAGGGCGAGTCGGCGACATCGGCGGTGACATCACGCTGCCTTCCACATACGGTTCATCAAGATCGACATCGGGGAAGTAGTCATCTAAATGTTCTATCATACCCTCCACAGGAGGCCTACTTGCCCAGATGTCATCTCGGACAAATGATTCGCGACGGTTGAACCAAGAGGCCTCTGGTGAATCTGACGAGCCATTCTCAGGGTTGAACCCTTCATTCTCCACACCTTGTTCGTTGACTGTGCTTCGAGTGGACGGCGTATTGGATGTTTCTCCAGGACTCGGAGATTTGAAGCTTACAGACATCCCTTTGGTTCCTCGCGAACCGGTATTGACAGTGAGAGCAGGTTTTGTAGACCGACCTTGGCTACCTCCGCGGTTGTTCGTCGGTGCTTTAACTGTCTTTGACTGCGCCCCGCCCTTCGCACTAGCTAATGGTATCGCAAATAGACCCTCATCCGAATCCTCATCCGAATCATCTTCAGGCGCTTGGGCTTTCGCGAAAGACACTTCGGTTTCCTGGAAATCGAAATCCGGACCAATTGACTTCCTCTTCTCTGCCGAATGAGTGTTGACTTTCGCCGGACTAACGGAAGAAGAACCATCAAGGCCTGTGGCAGGTAGAGGCTTCTTCATGTCTTCAGGATGTTTCGTACGCCCTTCCGCATCATACTGAGGCACTGTAAAAGTGGTATTGCCCTTTCCACGGCTGAAAAAGGGTACTTTGGGGGAAGATGAAGGAGTGGTTCGGCGCCCATCACCACTGTTGAAATCGACAGACTGCATTGAACGACCCTTTCCGGAAACAGGCTCAGATGCAGAGAGTGGGGAGCGGCCAGAGGCGGCAGCTTGGCTGGCGAAAGGTTTCCCAATAGCACTAGAGACTTTTCCAATTCCGGCCAAGGCTGCTCCAAGCCCATCACTTAATCCAGGCGAGGCTGTACTGGCAGTTGATGTCCACGGTTTTTCTCCACGTTCTTCAGATATCTGTTCAGCAGAGCTGCGCTTCGCACGATCAGTGCTATCATGACCTCTGATAGGGCGGTCGCCAGGTTTTCTGCTCAAAGAATTGACCTTAGAAAGCGTGCTCGACTCCGACGGTGCCGATGGGGGTTTTCGTAATGGAACTAGGTTATCTGTTTTTTTATCTTCATATGGAGAAAGTCGAGGGGAATCAAAATCTATTACACCATCACGCCTTATAGACACCTTAGGCGAATCTTTATACTGCTGATTTTCTTGTCTTGATTGTAGATAAATTTTCTGCTTTCGTTCGGCTTCTCGTCGGTATTCTTCATGCGCTGATAATATTGATGCTTCTCTACCTTCCATATCTATCTCGCTAGCCTGGCCTTTATCACCAAATGAAGGTCGAGATTGAGATTGGAACTGGTCATAAGGGAAGGATTTGGTAGTATTAAGCTTCATCCCCGGCTGGGATCTATGAGAGGGCGATGTAGCTCCCATATAGTGCCGAGCCTCATCGTCCGCCATATTCCGAGATAAACGGGTGCGCTCAGCCAAAGAAAGACCCAAACCAGTTGGCTGGGTCACCGGTGCAGACGCCGCAGATAAATTAGCGAGGTGAACGAAAAATTTCAAAGTGCCTTGGGCATCTGATTTTGTCCTGCGATTCACGACCAACATCGTATCACTAAGCGGCTCCTCGTGGGTGATTTGACCAGGTTCCGTAAGATAGATCAAAGCACTTCCAGGGTCTTTGATCCCTAGGCTATTACAAATGGTAGCTCGTAGTGTGTCCGCAGCATCCACATCCGTTAGATCTATCAATCGGTAATTCCATCCATCAGGAGTAGCCAAGGCGAATCGTCTCTGGGGCATGTTGTTTGTGGCTTTTCGAGGCCGTGATTGGACCTTATCATAATCAGAAACGGAAGAACACGGTCGTTCACTCAAGGACATATCGCTGCCATTGAACCCTGGTTTCATAAACACAGAAGTTGGCGGTGGGTTACGTGTGCCCACTGGACTCGTAGGCGAATCTGCATATATTTCCTCTGGAGATGGATGCATCGAATCGGTGCCCTTCTTCCATTTCAATTTATGAAAAAATCCTTTGCCGTGTTCCTTAGGCAATGATTCACCCAGTCCTTGGCGTGTTCCTTGTTCTTGTGGTGATGGTCCTTGCCCATTTTTCTTGGGATCATTTTGTCTACAAGCTCCTTGGCCACCAAGGAAGCCTTGGGATGAGAAACCTCGGCTCATCATGGAGTCAGAACTATGGCGCTTATCACATCTTCCATTGGCTTCTCCGGAGAATGGGACATATTCTTGGTGCGCCATCGTGACAAAATGTTGTGCAGGACTTCCGCTCTGAGGATTATCTTCTGAAGTCAGCGGTATGCCATTGTCGCTTGACGCAGAGGGGCTATGCCCTCGCCGCCCATCCAGCATTCCAAAAACGCTTCGAGAAAAGTCCGAACGAGAGTCCTGAATCGGTAATTCAGGACGTTGGCCAGAGTACTGTTTTTGAGCCGAATTGGGTGTTGCTCTAGCTGCATATTGCTGACCTGGGCTGCTTTCAGCGGTTCCAGAACTGTAGCTTGGGAATGAATCCCGTCCTAAATTAGGCGAATTTTCTAACCCATCGTCCGTGGATGCACTGGGTAGCATTTGACTGTCATAGTATCTAGTACCCAGGCTCGCAGATTCCGAACTTCCTTGATCAGCAATTTTCTTAATTAAATTCCGCATCCTCTTTCCCTCCTCTCGTTCCCTTGTCTTATCCCACCCAGTGCCGCTCTTTATGCATTCCTTGGCAAGCTGAGGATATACCACTTTGTGCATCTTACTTAGGTGGCTTCTACCATCTGAACGATTGCCCAGTTCCACGAAACTAGCGCCGTACAGGTCTAACGCCCGAAAGGTCTCCTGCCAATCGTTGGAAAATCCATTTTGTGCAAGCCACAGTAGTACACGATCGAGAGGCCATCTTTCATCGGCTTCCTGGACCGTCATGCCGCCGACTGAATATTCATTTTTTGTCTGGCCAGAATTGTCGCGTTGCGGGTTATGTAAAGTGGCGGTTGGTGGCCCTGGAGAAAGGGGATCCTGGTGGTCGCGCAACGGAAGGTTTAATTGATGTGACCGATTCCCTGCAGTACTCTGTAGAGTTCCATCATGATATGTTGGATTAGAAACGTGCCTTGCGCTTTCCGTCTCAATAGGATATCCGTATTGCTCTGGACGCCCATACGCCTCTTGTGGATCGTGGGTGAAGAGCGGAGGAATCCCAACGCCAGGGCCAAACGATTCGCCCCCTGGAATATACGTCGCGGATGTGAGAGGGTGTGTCTCACTACCTATTGATCGAGAAGGAATGGATAAAGGGGCCGGCTGATGGCGAGAACGTGTAGCACTGTACGCTAAATAGGGGTTTTGAGATTGGTTGGAAGAAAGTAAAGGGGGAGGGGGCGGGGGAAATTGTTGAGCCATTGCTTGATGCCTCGCCCATCCTTGTTGCCATCCCGGCTGTACTGTATAGGTTGTACCTGGTGGGGGACCGGGAGGAGGTGGAGGGACAAGACCGTGTCCTGAGTGGGGCATGCGAGGGGGGGGTGGAGGGAATGGCATCATATGCGTCGCTGCACTAGACTGTGAGATGTGAGGCGGCGGCGCTGGTATGTACTGTTGCCGTTGACCATCCATGATGCGGCCCACAATGCCTTCTCTGACTTAATTGATTATGTCCTAAAAGGTTCGACGCGACGGAGTCATGATTGGCAACAGTAGGAAACTTTGTTGGTATCTCATGCATTAAATGGTCCGAGAGTTGCGGTGTGTTATATGAGCGAAGATGAAGCCAATTTTTAGGGGTTTTCTCTAGGGAAGGCGAGGGGAAGCGCCGACAGGTTGTCGAATGTTGCGCGGATCCGCGCAGGCCGGGCGTTGAAATGGTTAACGAGTGACTTTCCTAGTCTCGATCGCTTAAAATGAATGAAGAATGTCGGCAGCACAGGCCAATACAATTTCTCTTAACGAAAAAATGAGGAAGTTGGGAAAATGTATCGAATGGTGGGGAAAGACTGATCGTGATGTTCCAGAGGGGCAAGCTATCAAGATGCAAAACGGCTACACAAAAATTAGCAAAATATCCCCAGTATGGTAATGGTATATAGGCAAAATATTAACAACCACGAGAGCTCAACGTGAACACATACATTTCCCCAGAGAAGCAAAGCCGGAGCTGAAACAGCGGGGATGCGATCGTCGACGACGTAAGCGCGGGAACCTCGAGGGCTAATTGCGGCACTGAAAGGGCAAGAAGAGATATCACAGAATTAAAGCAAGAACAACACTATGGCCACCTCAGGGAATTAATCGTCCTAATGGTCCTGGTAATTCTGAGTGATGAAGCGTGGGCATCGCAGGTGGTTGTCTCATCTGCCTCCTTATGCTCTGCCTCAAATGCGGTTCCGACCAGTCCACGTGATGCCAACAACAAAGCAGCAGCGTACGCAGTAAACCATCCGTCGGCGGTTGCGATCTTGCGCTGTCGACACCCACCAACCGACAACCGCGCTTTTAATTCCGTAGCGCCATCCCAATAGCGAGAAAGACGATCGCAAGAGTCTTCCTTGGTCATCATGTCTTTTTTGTGTTGTTATGGTGGAAACGTCGCACCGGCTTGAGACAGACCAGACACACTTGGATTTCCCACTACAGCTACGCAGTACGTTTAGGCGCCCGAGACAGACTGAGCCCGACAGGGTTTCAGTGAGGTTTTGTTCGATACTTCAACATGACTCCTTGGGGAACGCTCGCAATGTGGTGTCTGGGCGTCCCTGTAGGCATCGGGGTAAGCATTTAACAGTAAAGCCATGAACCCGTCTTTATGCCTGCTGACCATCTTCCTGTCCCTGTGGGCCCCCATGGTTGTGGTGCAAGACGACGACTACACAGCTGTCATTGAAAAGTTTGTGAACGCGGGATTCGCTCGAAGTGTTTCAAATCGCACCCCCTCCTCCTGACATTATAGAGGAGCATCCAGACCCACAACAGATGTTGAAGGGAATAAACACCAACTACAAATGCTTGGATCAGTCTTGTGCAGTATTTGATTATCCACAATGGTGATCCAGTGGAAAAAGGCTTGCAGGTGTATCTATTTCCAAATTCATTTGCACACCATGCTCTAGAAGAAAGACATTTCCTGCCCTTCAAACAACACATGATATACTGATATACAGTGATAACAGAGCAATTTGATGTCTACAACAATTTACACTACCTGTTGGTGCAGGCACTGGCTGAAAGCTTTGTTAGGGCCGCGATTGATGAAGAGAGGGATGCTGGTTTTTCTGTGTGGGGCGAGACACTGAGGTGCTGCGTATCCCTGATGAGGATATGTAGAGGTTCGAGAATGATGATCTCGATCATTGTTCGGATAAGTAGGTAGTGGAATGGTACAGTACCAACTTTGGATCCATGAGGCCAATTTTGGCCCCATTGAACGGCGCATTTCAAAGCGCCTCGGCTCCGGCAAAGAGCTGCCAATGGATATTATGCGGGGAAATGTTGTTTCATGGTGATTTTCATTCGGCTATAACTACATTTTTATTCTTGCCAGAAAATATTTCAGCAAAGCGATTCATATCAATTGCAAGACGTATACGGAGTAGTAAGGCTACCTAACACCCCCAGAGTCCGGTCATAACCACATACCCCATTGGCGTTCCCAGGTAACAGGTTGCAGTAACATCCGTAGCACACCGTAGCGTCCCAGAAGACCACCACAGATGGCAAGCTCCATATGAACTTGACAACTGGCTGAAGGAGGGTTTTGGAAACTTCTACCTTCGTGAAACTCTATCGCTCGGTCAATAACTGGGTTTAAGAGAATGGCAGAAAAGCGTTCTAGTTTTGGAAAATAGTGCTGCATTTGATCTTTCAAAGCCTTTAGAGCCTGAGCCAAAGCTGGCCTCTTTTCATTTCGCAACTCTTGGCTCTGATTCAAGTCGAGCTCTGGTCTCCCCGGCACAGCCAAGGGGATCATATTCATGAGATCACGAATATCGGTTGCTTCTATAGCACCACCTTAGTGCTCATACTAGGACAGAATCTTTTCACGCAGGATGGGCTAAAGAGTTTGACCCCTCGACCGCTGATACTGGACGTCTTCCATGTAGCGACCCGAATGCTGTACTGGGACGTTGCGGCCAGATTTGGGAGTCAAATACTTCGAGCTTCTCCAACTGGACGACGTACCTTCTGGTCGGTGCAGTTTGTATGCAGGAATGGTGTGCCCGAGTTGGTTCGGGAAGCATGTGAGGAGCTGAGTTGTAAGAACAGTCAGAGGTGGTCATAGGGTGGTTAACAGAATGACAAGTTCATTCCTTCAACTCGGGTCTGCAGTCACCAGACAGGTGGCAGCAACCCCATGATGGCATAGTCGATATTTAATGAATCAAGCTTCTGCGCCAGCGCAGAAACAACTGTTTTCAGGTCTTCGAGACTGAGCGGCGGCATTGTATTTCAGGTATCCCCAGACTTTGTCTGTAAGCACATTCCGAGGAGCTAACCAAGATGCATTATCAATTACTAGGCCGAGTTAGGTAGTTATGGAGTTTGCTTCAATTGAACAGTATGTCCTGCTTTCCACCTCGCACGGGAGAAGGTGAAATCTCAAGGAAGTGAACCTCTATTTATTATTATTATTATTATTATTCTACAGAGTATTTTTCCTGACGATGGGAAAGAGCGAAGGCCTCAGCGGACATAATCCTCGCCCCTGTTGGCCGCGCTTACTGTGTAGAGCAAGCCTCGCTCCGTTGTCCGTGCATTTGCGATGCTGGCGTTTAGCCCAACCAAGCTGTTGGTCAACACCCAGTGGTAATGTGAGTCTGGGTGATGGAAATGACCGGAACCGCCGCATGGTTACTGGTAACTGTGGCATGGATGCGCCATGTGTTCGAGATTATAATTAGTTCCACACAATGCTAATTAAGTTTTTGGCGGCTTTTCTGGTTAAGCTTTGCGATGCACCGTGCGGCGTAGTTGCGGTTGTGGGATTCGACCCGATGTGACAATTAAAATTCTCCTGGGATATTGTCAGAGGGACGGTAGTAGTCGGAAAGAAGGGAGTGGTATTTTTAACAGCGGCTGCTTTGGGGGGCCGGGGGAAGGAGCCAAAATGTCAAATGCCAAAATGCCAAGAAGCCAAGAGAGGCGGGGATTCTTGAGGACGAAGAATTGCCGCTGGGGCGTTGGCTTGGCTAGACTTGGCTGTCGGGGTATCCTTGGCTCGCTTGGTTTTCTTGGCGTCCGCTTAACCCTGGGGCAGATGGCGTATTAATTTATGCTTCGTATTATTGATTTTACCTTACACGCCCTTTCCTCGCTTCCCCACCTTTTTGGCTTGTTTTGCGATGTAATTTTTGATCAATCTGTGTCACTTGAATGGCTAGCACGTGTTATTTGCTGCGTAATTCCTAATTTGGAGGTTCGCGAGGGTAACAATAGGGCTGGTTATTCTGGAGTGATTCATGCAGCTCGCAACCTGGCGCTCAATACAGAACCGCAGGCGCATGTTAGGAGCCAAGCGATTCCGACCATCATCCTGCCTGGCATCCGAATAATAATACATGAAAATGCGACGTAACACAGTGTATGAGAGCCCAAGAAAAACAAGGTTTGTGTGGCTGTGGCACTTGTATTTTGGCGGGCTGTTGAACATCCCGTAATACGAACGTAATACACCCTTGTCTAGGTGCCAAGTCTTGCCCTGTCCAAGCCTTCCCTTAACCCCCCTCCTCTTCCCTCTCTTCTTGGCCGGGACGTCCCTGTCCGCCCACCATTTCTTGGTGTCTGCGGCTTTTTCTGTTTCACTCCCTTCTCATTTGATTTCCTTCCTCTTTCCTCTTATTCTTATTATTACCCTCCCATTCCCAAGGCCCAACTCCCCAATTCTTAGACTCTTTGTCCTCCCTTCCTTTTTGCTGTAGAACTGAATAACGGCTGCCTAAGTTTCGCTGAACAGGCCACCTTTTACTGCGACAGCATTATTAAGACAAGGTGACTGAGCTCTTTTGGGATCGAGCTTGTGATACTTGCTCCCTCTCGCAGCGTCGATATACCAAGCCGTCGATATTCAGTCGTATTTTCTTTCTTTGGTCATACAGAGTGACGGCGGAACTCCATTCTGAGTGGCACGAGAGGGGAAAATAGCTTCAACGAGGAGAAGAATAACTCTGTTGTCAATATCATTTCGCACGTGTAGGCTACTACCTCTGTTTTTAAACTTCGTCGAGCCCATTTATTACTTTGTTGCCCCCGCCTCGAGTCCGATTTTCTGTTGCAAAGCCTTTCTTTTTATTACTATTTTACTCGCGCCCTTGCGCGACAAACATCAACCCACCACTTCTTCCTTTGTAACATCCCTCTGCTTCATCCCTCTTCTTCATCCGCCTTGTATTTGATAATTTCTCTCAACGCCTTTTGCGTTTTGATATTTCAGTCCTGGGCATCAGTTCGCGTTTTGTTGTTCCCATTTTCCGCTCCCAAGACTTGCTTTGACAAGAAAAATTTCTTGGCAGTCATGTCCTCCCGTGAAAACCAAGACTCTTCCGCCCCGATGGCCCAACAACAACAGCAGCAGCAGCAGCAGCCACAACAACCACAGCCGTCCCCTCAACAGCAACCTCAACAACCACCACAGCGTCAGCAGCATCAGCAACAACAACAACCCCCGCAGCAGCAGCAGCAAGGTCCGCCTCAGCAACAACAGCCGCCTCCAGGACAGGCTCAGCACTCGCCTGCCCAGGCCTCCCATCCCCCGCTAAACTCGCCCTCGGCGGTGCAGCAAGCTGCTGCCGCCGCAGCGGCGGCTTCCGTTGTTACCCCAGTATCACTTTCACAGAATTTGAGTAGTGGCCCAACGCAAGGTGCTGCTGAGAACTTAGTATGCCAATGGCATGGTTGCCAAGACAGGCTTCCCACAGCTGAAGCCCTCTATGTGAGTGCTGTCTCTTGGTGTCTCGGCACAGTAATCCACGTGATATCCAAGCAGGCCCCTTATATACTTGCTTGGATTATTCTGGCGCCAGCCTGCGCTTATGGATTTTGATAACATGACATTTGCTTGCCTTAGGTGTTGTGTTGTGGGTAAGAGAACCCTTCTACTATGCTAACGTATCGCATAAAACTTAGGAACACGTCTGTGAACGTCATGTTGGCCGCAAGAGTACCAATAACTTGAATCTAACCTGTGGATGGGCTAATTGCCGGACGACTACCGTCAAACGCGACCATATTACCTCGCACATTCGAGTTCATGTTCCCCTGAAACCTCACAAGTGTGATTTCTGCGGCAAGGCTTTCAAGCGTCCACAGGATTTGAAAAAACATGTAAAGACCCACGCGGACGATTCTGTCCTAGTAAGATCCCCAGAACCCGGCCCTGGAGCAAGACCACCAAATGGAATGTTTGGTGTCGGTGTTGGCGCAGACGGAAAATGTAAGTTAGCTTCCTCCACCTTTTCACCGTATTTAAATTTGCAACCGTATCTTTTGCTTTATCGTGCTAATATGACTTTGGCGACAGCCCATTATTTCGAGGGGTCATTAGGACCTGTCCCCGGACAAGCGTATCCGCACGGAGCTGCACAATATTATCCAAATCCCCACCCACAACACCCTTCCAATCAGTCGTATGGAAACGTTTACTATGCTGTTGGCAGCGATGCGTCGCATCAGGCCTCCTATGAATCGAAGAAACGAGGATACGATGCTTTGAATGAGTTCTTCGGTGACTTGAAACGCCGTCAGTTCGACCCCAGCTCCTACGCCGCGGTTGGGCAGCGGCTATTAAACTTGCATGGCCTGCCCCTTCCACTGGTTAACGGCGGTGCTGTTCCTGAGTACCAGCCGATGCCAGCCATGGTTAATGTCGGCGGCCATGGTGGCGGCTACCAGCCCGGCCCAATGCCAGCCCAGTCGTACCATTTGCCTCCAATGGGGAACCTTCGCACCAAGGCTGACTTGATGAACATTGACCAGTTCCTGGAACAGATGCAGTCGACCGTTTACGAGAGTGATGATCACGTTGCCGCTGCTGGAGTCGCACAGCCAGGTGCCCATTACATCCACGGCGGGATGAGCTACCGGAATACCGGCTCACCCCCATCTGCCACACATATCCCATCTAGCCACGCGACGGCTGCAACATCTGCTCCTATGATGATATCCTCGACTGCCACCCGTTCCTCACATAGTAGCACACCCGCTCTTACCCCTCCGTCCAGTGCCCAGTCCTATACTTCTGGCCGTTCTCCTATTTCCGTTTCCTCGACGCATCATACTGTTCCCCCTTCCCACCATCCTCAATCAAGCGCCGCGATGTATCCAACACTTCCAGCCACGACAGCCCAGGAAAACTCCACCACGGCTTATCCAAGTATTTCAAGTGCAGCGCCGCCGTCGACTCTCAGCAGCGTATTTGAAAACGATGACCGTCGCCGATATACAGGTGGCATGCTCCAACGATCCCAACCGCACTGTGTATCTGAGTCTTCCCAAATGTACCTCTCCCCATCTTCTAATACCGCACCTGCTAAATTTTCTACAAATGTCATCGACCCAGCACTTCAACCAACAACGAAAACTGGGACACCGTCAGATCACGACTCTAGCTCCGAACGTGGTAGCCAAAAGCGCGAAAGCACGTCTAGCACGTCTCCGGACGCCGACGAAGCTTCCCGAACTGTAGCTGCCGCCGCTACGGTTGCAAACGCTACGACCGGCAGTGAAACGCAGGGCCACTCGGTAGAGCAGTGGGTAGCCAACGTGCGTCTCCTAGAGAAACTACGGCTGTATATATATGAACGACTTAGTCGTGGTGAGTATGAGGATGATCCTACTGGTTCTAGTAATGTCACTACGAATGAGATCGACAATATTAGGGACAGTCATGATGTTAGTGAGAGGATGGAAGGGATTGAGCTTGGAGGGAGGGCATCGTCTTCGCCATCTGCGTCTATCGACTCAGATAGGGATATGGGAAGACATAGGGCTGAACGGCGACAGGAGCGGCAACGGCAAGGGAGCACAGAGCCCAGTAGGGAGAAGGCGGAAAATGGGGGGAATCTGTATCCGGTTCTGAAGGTGGACTTTGAGGAGTCTTGATTTTCAAGAGTCTTAAATTAGTTGTTTTTCTTGTTTTCTTCCCAGATTTTCCTTCGTTGTTTTTCCTTACTTTATTCTTTTATAAATCGATTCCACCCTGTTCATTACGCTTCCTCTCTCTCTCACCCTTTCTTACATTATCCTTCTTTTCTATTATGATGTTCAACGATTCCTTCGAGCGGGCTGTCTGGGGCGAGTTTCATGTCTTTTCACGATTTTTCTTTTTTTTTTCCCCTTTTATTTTTTTTATTTTATTTTTTTTATTTTTCCTTCCCATCTTTATTTATCTAACTATAGTTACTTCTTTCTTATTTTCATCAAATGTATACTCACCGAGTCACTCCAATTGCTTTAAGTTTTTCTCGACCTTGAATCTTCTCCTCAGCATGCTCCTATTAACTTTCTCTTTTTTCCTCTCCTCTCAATTCTGAACCACTACTCTTCACATTCACAGGCTCTTCACCTATTGATTTCGGTAGTTTGTTTTTCATCTCTTAATCTATTTGTTTTTGTTTTTTTATATGTTTTTTTAAAGCGACCCACTTTGTGTTTGTTTTCGGTTCGGGAACTTTTACGATTCTCGGCTCTCCCTTTCCAGTTTTATATTATATACATGTAACCCTCTTTATAGTTCGACGGGGAAGGTTGATCTGTTAGAAGATCTTCGTTTTTAATAATGACGCGGAGATTAAGTCAGCGAAGTCTGCCAGGGCCTCTCCATTCAATAAGTTCGAAGTATACAAGTTACAATTTTGTTAGCTTTTTTTTTGTTTATTTTATTTTATTTTTGTTTTTGTGGGGGGGCTTTTTAAGGGGCTTTCTTGTTTGTTTGCGGAGCGAAGCGAAGCAATATGTTAGGTGCTCTCAAAACCTGATTAGAATAGAAGGTGCGATCTTGCAGGCCCATTCTGTGATATGATTGGTTGAAAAAATGCACACACCCCATGTGACCACCTGTACGGAGTACTCCGTACTCCGTTAGAGGAAGCTGCAACTGTAACGTGACTCACCACTCAACGAACTCATCCACCCAACGAACTGCTATTTTTTCCATGAATCTCTGCAACTCTTCAACTTCAATCACCCACCATGCCACCCAATGAAGCGATTATGGAGCAAGCAATCACTCAATTGAATCAACAATTGATTCCTAAATATGCTGCAGTTGCAAAGGAATTCAGAATCAATTATGTTATCTTAATACAGTGATTCAAAGATCAACAGATCTTCAGAACAGAGACAATATCAACTTACTATCAGAATCTCACAAATACTGAAGAACAATGTCTTCTATTTCATATTAATCAGTTATTCAATCATAGCTTCTCTGTGACATCTCAAATACTGTGCAATTTTGTATTTGAGATTATCAAGATATAAGTAGAAATCAACTGAGTGTCTTACTTTTATAAGTGATATAAAACAAAGATTAAGAGCATCTATCTTTATACTCTGAATCAAAAGAGAAAATCTCTCTATATATTATAGAAAAATCAACTTTTCTGAGTAAAATACTCTGTAACATGATCTCATATAATATCATATACATCTTATCAAATTTATTCATGAATATGTAGTAATATTTGTCTTCACTTTATATCTCTATCTTCATCTTATTACTCACTTTTATTATCTCTATTAATCTCTATCATCTCTATCACTTCTATTACTTCTATTATCTCTATTACTTCTATTATCTCTATCATCTTTATTATCACTATCTCTATCACTTTATAGCTCTCTCTATTACTTTCACTTCATATCTCTACTCTATTCTTATCTTATTACTTTCTTATCATCTCTATTATCTCTATTATCTCTACACTTCTTTCACCAAATTCAATTGAGTTCAGACAAAGCAGGAGAAATGCCTCTGTTCTAGTATATATAAAAACACTTGAACAGTCAAGAACCCGCCGATAGATCCATCGAAAAGCCCTCGATCATACGAGCATTCTGACCCCATCGCCGACCGCATACCCTGTGTGGTGGTGGAGTTATCCAGCCAAATGTGAACCGGATGTTGTTCGAAACTCCTGTGTGGGATTATCCCCCGTTCTCCCCTACCACACCACAACCCCGGGCCAGAGTGCCATACAAATTGTAAGGTGAAGTGACCTAGCCATATGCACCAATCTTCTCGATTTTGGAAGATCCCCGACCTGTAGTTGTGGAGATATCCGAGGAGCGACCTCCGCGAAAACCCTGTCCATCTTTGATGTTCCAAAACACCAACGCCAAGTCTCACCCTCGTACCGCCCTTCCCAATCTGGCCCATCCCCGGCAGAAAAATACAAAAAGATACCTCAGCGATAATATCAAGCACATAATCAACAGACTCTTCTGAAGTGCAACCTCCATGGTCTGTCGCCAGTGTATCTAGACTTCAACACCAAGTCTCACCCTTGTACTACCCCTCTCAATCTGGCCCATCCCCGGCAGAATGATACAAAAAGATACCTCAGCAACAGCATTCAATACATAATCAGTGAACAATGAGTCAACAGCACATCAACAACTATAAAATCAGTATATCTCAAGATCTGACTGAGCCTTTGATCCCTGTACAGTGAGATATATTAAATCTAGTTTTAATATCTCAATATTCACTAGATTCTGCAAGGAATTGAGAACAGTAACACTAGATTTCTATTGAATTTGAGAATTAACTCTATATTAATATAATCATTGACAAAGTCTTCTATTTTGAGATATAAATAATCAGTTCCTCTACATCTCACTGATAATATTTATATTATTATATAGAAACAGACTTATATTCTCTATAATATCAAGACTCTGAAGAGAGAAAGTCTTGATAAAGAGTATATAGTAGTACATATCTTAGCAGTTTCTATCTCATTCTTCTACAGCAGTTAATGCAAAAAAAAAAAGATCTTAGAAATAGTTTTTTACTTCTCTTGAAAAAGTAAGATGTTTTTCTCTGGGTTTTATACAATATTCTTTCAAAGAATTAAAAACAGAGTTATTTTCTGTCATAATTTCATATTCTTTTAAGTAAGAATTACTTTTTCAGTGACTGAAGAGCTTTTATTAATACTTAATTCTTTTTTACACTCTTTATTAACTGATTTGAGTTGTACACTTGTTGTGTGAGAAGAATTGAATGATTTAGAATAAAATTGAATATTTTTAATCAATTTCTCTGCAAAAAATTGATTTATTTTTTGTCATTTTTTCTCTCAAAAACTGTCATATTATCTGATTTATTATCAATTGATATCATACTTTTTTCTCACTGTATCTCAAGAAAGAGATTGTAAAGATTTCATTGATTTATCTTAAAAATCAATTTTAGTTTATTAGATTCTCTTTAAAAATCTAATCTAGTTACTGAACTAGTGTGAAAAAAAATCAGATATTTTATACATAAAAGTCTTTATTCTTCTTTTGAAACAGTCTGACTACTTCTCAATTGAAAACAGACTTAGAAATCTCTTAATTGAACAGTCTGACTACTTTTCAAGAGTCATAATATCTATCTCAATTGAAACAGTCTAATCAACTTTTCATTGAGTGAGAACAATGAGTTTAAAAATACACTCAGTTGATGTGAAAAAAGATGCTTTCTCAAATGCTATTTCTGAGATTGAAATTCTGAAGAGAAGAAAAAAAGAAGAAATAGAGAAATAACAAGTTCTTGAAATACAAAAACTTGAAAAAGCAAGTAAGATTCTTGAAAAGCAGTGTCTAAGTGAGATGAATGAAGAAGTTCTGTTAATTCTTCATGCTCAGACTAGACAACTACAGGAGATGATCAAGTTCAAACTTGGAATTTCAAACACAGTTTAAAAAACATTGAAAATTCCTAGTACAATCACTGACTCTTCATTTTACTCTTCTTCTTTTTCTACTTCTTCTTCTTCTTTAAATCAGAAGAAAACATATGCTCAAGCAGCTGAATCTGCTGTCTCTAAATCTGCTATCTCAAAACCTGCTCAAAATTCTGAGAAAACTGAGAAGAATGCTGCTCATACTTCTATTCATAGAAAAGTGAAGAAAAAAATACAAAAAGAGGAAAACTTTCAAATCTTCAGAAATAGAAGACTTATTCTCAAAGTCTCAAATCAGAATATCTTGCAAAGAAACAAGCTAAACTCAAATCTTATTTTCAGAATCAGAAATGAAATTAATCAGCAGTTCTTTTCTTAGTTAATAACTGATATTGAAGTTCAAAAATCAGTTATAGCTTCAATTGAGTCATTCTTCTGTGAAAACTTCATCATTCTGACTACAATGTCTGAATTCAGTGCAGAATTCCTTATTCAGAATGAGAATCTCTGAAAATCAGCAGTATAATCTTTATTAAACACAATAATTCTATCTGAGAGAGATGAAAAGTGAGACAAATTCATTCTTTATAATATTTCAGTTGAAATTTTTGACTGTGAAGAAGAAATACTACTTTTTAAAAATGAATTAGAAGAATACAACTCTATTCAACTGAGAAAAGAGTCTGTATAACTAAATTCAATTAAGTTCAGACAAAGCAGAAGAAATGTCTCTGTTCTAGTATATACAAAGACATATGAACAGTCAAAGATCTCTGAAGTAAGAGTAACAGATTTGAAAATGAGAGTTCATGAATACAAAGACTCAAGAATAAATCTCAAAGCTCAAACACAGTGTTCAAACTGTCAAAGATATGAATACTTTATAATCTCTTATTTTAGAGACTCAAAAAATGCATTCTATGTCAGAGATCACAAAACTAGTGAGCATAAATATGAAATATGCTTAGAAAGAGATGAAATATATTAATATATTCTGCTTAAATGCTCTAATTGCAAAGAAAAATATGTATCTAGCTTAAAAGAATGTATATTTACTTCAAGAACTCAAAAGAACTGAAGAAAAGATAAAGCTCAAAGTAAATCTACAACTGAAGAGAATAGTCAAGTCAGTAAACTCACATCTATAAGCTTAAAAAGAAGAAACTCTTAACTATCTAAATCTTCAAACTTCAATTCTTCAGCTAAATATAAACAGAATTTGAACTCTTAAACTTTTATTAAGATTAGAGAATTGAGAAATGACTCTGATAATAAACTAGATATAATACAAGCAGTTGAGATTTCTACTTTTCAGAATAGTTATAATCTACTATCTGATAATAGTGATTAGATTCTACTCTACTCTCTTTTAGTATAAATATACAACAAAAACAATAAAAAAAGTTTAAAAACTCTTTAAAAATCATATTTATTCAAAATAATATGAATAGAAACTCAAATTGTATTTATTCTTGTCTTCAAATTGTATTTGAATAAAAAGTTGATTTTATACTGCTTCAGAAGCCGAATTTTGATACTGAGTAAAAATATGTTATTTCTTATTCAAGCTACTACTGCTTTCTATCTCAAAAGTCTGAGATAAAGTCAAGAGTAGTGATCTATGGAAGAAAAAGATAAAGATATCAATTTAATCTAAGATTTGATATCATGTCTGACTCTGATATTCTGATGAGTGATATTATAGATAAAGAGAATGAGTTTAATACTATACAGCTTATAAATATCTATAATGAAAAGTCATTGAAGAAAAATAACAATATCTGAATAATTAATAGAGAATTTCTGAACATAACTTCATTAAGAAACTCTATAATTGTAGAAGATTTTAATGCACATTATCTCTGATAAAATTCAGAATGTAAAAGAGCAGTAAGAGCTGACAATCTAATTGAATAAATCTTTAAGAATTCAATAGATTTAGTTAACAAGTCTGATCAATAAACATTCTTTAGAAATAATATGAAACAGAAATCT